TCCACAACTTGACAGCTAGTAAGAAGTTGTACATCTAACATAGGAGTGTAAACGTCCCTCTCAAGTTCAGGCAAAATAGTAACAATACTTTTTCATCAGACACATTTTCATGACTGATTACTGTTTTTCCTGCTACAGTTCCCAAAAGATGAAAATCACAGCCCAGTATTACTGTGTAGCAAGTTGTTAACTAAATCTGTGATTCTTTACAAGGTGTCCCCGTTCAGTACAAAACAGTGGGGGGGGGGGGGGGGTAGTAGTCTGTGGCATTTCCATGTATACAGAGTATTCCCATTTGGTCTTTGCCAAGCTTGGGAGGGTCTATTAGACTTGCATGACCCATTGTGACCAGGCATAGAGTCTAAAAATGCCTTCACTAGATATCTTTTTTTGTATAGGACAGAACTGCCTTCCATTCTCAGTTCCTTTGTGTGCTGCAAGAATGGACTTGGCAGGGTCCATCAGTCTTGCATAAACCAATGTGACCAGGTTTGCAGAGTCTAATAATGCCTCCGCCAGATGCCTTTCTATTGCATAAGATATATACACCTACCAGTCTCAGCTTTTTGGTGTGCTGCAAGAACAGCCTTGGCAAATGGTTACATATGCCGCCCCCCCACCCCAGTTCACATTTTTAAGGCTCATGTAATATGAGGCAATAGTCCAGCCTCATGTTCCAATACTTGCCAGCACCTAATATGCCGTATCTCTGTTAAAGTGTTACTAAACCCAGAACAGTAAAATCAGTCTGTATATGCAGTAAAATATGCTTGTTATTCTCACTGTGGAACCTAAGGGGTTAATCTTCTGCATTGTGTAAATAGGCTGTTTGATCCTGACTTCTCTGCTACTCCACGTCTGAACCGTAGCCATTCTGCACATACTCAATTCAGTGTGTATTGCTAGAGAGGTTTTTTGTTTTGTTTTTTTTCTTGGGAGAGTGCACGTGATCAGCACAGGGCCAATCAGCACTGTCCAGACAGAGGTCAGGGGTTTTGCATCTTCCTAGAGCAGAAAGAAAACTCCTCCTACAAGCTTTAACCAGTGCTCTGCTGAACACTGATAGAAGTCACAAGACTACTCTAACTGCTGATGAGAAAAGGTATTTAGCAGTTTATATTTACTAAAATAACTGCACTTCCATGTTCTGTGTACTGTGGGAGACCAGATATAGTGAATGCAGGGTCCTGGGTTTAGTAACACTTTAAGGAAGAAACTTCTGACATATCTGGCAATCATGAAGGTCTCAACCCCACCTTAAGAGCGCATTTACCCCTTTGATAAAAAAAGAACAATTTTACCTGAAGTTGATGTTTTCCTGTTCCAGGAGTTATCAGCTTGAATGGAAGATCCCAGAGATAATTTTTCAGTAGCAGGTTGTCATTCCGCTAGGGACACTAGCTCATCCACACTCTTGGGGTACATATGCCTGTTGTGCCACTGTATCTTAACAGGCAACGCTCTGCTATAGGGTGCAGCAAACTTGTTTCACAATATGAGCAGGTTTGGGCACTTCCGGTTGTAACCACTTGTTTGTAAAGTGGAATAAATTGTCCATCTGCAACCTCACAGGCTTCCCAGAGTGATATTCCTATGTGAATACAAGCTGCACTTGGATTGGCGATGAAACCTTGACCTGGACTGGGTTTTTCTCCTTTAAATTTAGCATACTCCTTGGTATTCTGCAAATTTAAGTCAAAGCAGGCCTTTTAGTGACCAAAACCAGCTTTTTTTTTTTTTTTTTTTTTTTTTTCAACAGAGGGTGCATTCTGATATAAAATTAGAGGATTCGATTATTATTTCCACTATGTTTGGCCTCAAAATCCTAAATGTTCCAGTAAGGTGTTCTCATCCTCCCTAATTTGATGATTTTCTTTACAAGGTTTGGTAACACCCTGATAAGCAATTCCTTGTCCAAAAATGGTTACTGATTCTCAATTTGTTTTGCAGAGTATTGTGCATGAACTACCCCTCCTGCTGTTGACTCGCAAAGGCTAAGTTCATCTTTTTAGCAAAATTACCTGTGCAAACAAGGGTCCCCTTGTAACTTAAAGCACAGGGGTTTATTTACTAAAGCTGGTTCACTCAGAATCTCATGCACTTTTCAACCAATCAGCTTCCAGATTTTATTGCTAAAGCTTAACTAAACAAGCTGAGATTAGAAGCTGATTGGCTGTCTACTATGCACAGGTGAACAAGATTCTGAGTAAACCAATTTGGTAAAATGTCATTTAATGCAAGTGTTATACCTGTAGGACATTTGAATCCGCTTCAGCATGAAAGTTTGCCTGTGTCTTAGCAATTTTGAATGGACCTCTTTTCAGCCATTTAAGATTTGTTTACTAAGGAAGTCATAGTAGCCATTCCCTGAAATGAACCAAATTTTTTAGTCAAACCTCTTTATATTTTCAGAAACCCTTTGGAGACTTTCATCCTATCCTGGACTTGAGGGCCTTCAGTTCCACTGTACATCCTGAAAAGTTTCTGACTGAAAACTAATCAGTCAGTTATTGCCTCCCTTCATTGCCAAGACTTCTTGGCTTTCATCAATATAAGGGATGAGTATTCTCACCTTCCCATCTTTCCAGTTCACCAGCAATTTTCTTTGATGTTCTCTGTGTGACAACTATTATGAATTTGTGGCTGTTTCCTTAGCCTTGCCTCAGACTTTCACAAAGGTCCCCATGCCTGTTTTTGGCCTTGCTTATTTCAGTGGTATCCCAATTATCAGATGCCAGTGCAGGCCTTCCTGACCTTGAACTCTTTTATGTGTCAATCACACTTTGGGCATTGGAGGACTTTGATGGGTCTTTGATTTCAAAAAATCATCTCTGATCCATCCCAGGGCTTGGATTACTTGAGTCTCCTTCTGGGTCCTCTGCAAGCTAAGGTCTTCCTTTCCTGGAGAGGTTGATGCATCTGCAGTGTAACGTTTAATCCCAGCATTAATTCTTCATAAAGGAGCTGCATGCAAATGCTAAGGTTTGTGGTATCCACATTTTGAAGTCGTTCTATTTATTCCACTCAAACAACTTGTGATTGAACATTCTCACGGCATGGGACTAATCAAGTATGTTTCTGGACCAGTTGATTTGGGTTCACCCTCAAACTTTCCCCAGCATTGTTTACAGGCTTTTTTTTTTTTCTCCATCTATAAATAAAAGCTTGTCGCAATGGATGCCGATCTTCTTGAATGGGGTGGAGTTCTAGGTCTTCTGTTTCTTCAGTAGTTGTTGGTCCCCAGAAGAATCGACATTTCCAACACCCAGGAGTCATGTGCAATTTGTCTGTCATTACATCATTGGACCTCTCTTCTCACTGGGCCTCAAGCCCAAGTTCAGTTGGACTATGCCAACGCCATTGCTTACATCAGTCAGGCACCAGGAATGTTGTGACATCAATGTAGGAAGACTATCCAGTCCTGGGCAAAATTTTATATTCCAGCGACCTCCACAATGCATATTTCTGACATGTAAGATTTTCCTCAACAGTCAATGTCTGAATTTGTGGAAATGGTCTGTTCATCAGAAAGGTTTCAGGAACAAATGTCTGCCTTGGGAATGCTAGATCTTGGTTCAACAATTAGCTGGAGAGATTTGTCTCCATGACATGAAATCCGATGGTGGAACCCGTGTCCCTAGATTTCTTATCAAGTTCTGTCCCTCAGTGGACAATGGGTAAAACAGGATTATTGTAATTGCAGTGAAATCATTTTCTCATTGAGCCAGACCCAGAACATAATTTATTAAACTTCTGAGAAAACAAATAATCTGTTTTCTCCACATCAGCGATAAACTTTGGAGCTCCTTACCATGAAATGTTGCTGTATTGTACTTTTGGTTAAAGGAGAAGTATAGCCAAAGCTTCTTTGGCTATACTTCTCCTATGAATCACAGGAGGGCAGTTTGTTCTGCACTCTTGTGATCCGTTTTTAGCCAGTATCAGGCTAAAGCCCACTGTTGACTGATGTCACAGAGCCAGTCCAGTCTCTGAAAAAATCCCAACCATATGATTGGTATCCACCCAGAAGCCTGGACCGGCACCTGGCTCAGCCTCTCAGCTATTTTGCCGAGAGCCTGAGTCAGCCTCTTCTGCCCTATTCACAGCCAAGAGCTCCATTGAGCTCTTAAGGGGCAGAGCAGAGAGCTGGAGACTGACAGTCCTGGCTCAGAGCATAGAAGAGAACTGAACAGTCAATGGTGTTTGAGTGCTCAGTTCTCTGTGCAGCATCGGCAGGGGACATATGCAGCATTGGATCGATGCTGCAACCACCTAGGTATGTGTAATGTTTTGGTTTTTTTTTCTCTTTCTCTATTAATGAGCAATAAATATTGAGCTTGCAACGACCCCTCACTCTTGATAGATGTCATATTGTATATCATAGACAAAGAAAGAGATGCTATTGTCTACCAGTCCATAGGTAGTGATTAGTGCTCTCTGCAAGAATGCTGTATTCCCCACCACTGGTGTATCAAGAATGCCAATGGTTGATAACAGCAGTCCAGTGAGCTGTTCCTAAACTTTTTAAAGTTCTAAGGTTGCTGATTAACTCTGAGCTCTCTCATGGTTAAAAAAAAAAAACAAAAAAAAACGGAGTATATTCAAGCTCTCCAGCATATTCAGTATTAAGGTTACACATCCCTGAAATAGTTGGCAGCCGCATGAGTGTTTTAGCAGAAGTATTTTTTTTATGGTCCTCTAAAAATAGAAGATCTATTTAAATGAAAAGGAATTGTAATAACATGTCTTACGTGAATACCTCCCTAAATTTTAAAAATGGTTCTAATTTCATAAAAATGTTTTCCCTTAATGCATTTCCTGCATAAAGGTAAAAAATGTCCCAGTAGCAGTATTCTCCTCCAAATACTTTCCCTAGTCCTTACCCGATCCAGCACTGTGCCCGTCTGTAGTGGCTCTTTTTGTGTCCGACGCATTTGCCCATGTACATAATGTCTATGCCTATGGCAGATTAACATACCTTGTGTATCTTGCTTCTTTAGGAATCACAATTAAGAGCAATACTGGAATGAATCTAAGTAAAGACATAAATAACGTTGACCTGTGGCCAAATATTAAGCAACCAATTAAACCTCTTGGTTTGCCTGCAGGTAATTTTTTTATATATTTATATTTTTGATTTATAAAGAAATTCCTAACATGATTTAGATACCTATTTAGCACTTGGTAGTAATTATGGTATTTTGTGAGCTACTCTTAAATCTTTTCCACTGCTGCTGCCCTCCAGCCCTTGAAAATCTAAATGCCAGGAGGTGGGTTTTCCGATCACAAGACCACTGTGCTTGGCTTTCACAGTGGCCACTTGATTGAAAGCTTCTGATCGCAGGTATGCATCAGGAGCTGTCCATGACAACAAAGCTGTTCCCCATGAATACATATATGTGGCAGCTCAACATTTGAAACCCACTCTTCCAGCCACCACATATATGTGGATAGACGGCGGAAAGAGGTTAACCTTTGCAAAAACAAGTTCTTTGCATATAGAAGTGCTTTTCTGGTAAATTAAGATTGAGGATTATACTTACTGATTTCACTGTTTTCAGGACACTCTGGAATTAATGGAGCTGCTGGTGGTTACAGTTCCTCTTTCTTAAAACACGAACTAAGTTCTGTTGGACCAAAGGCACGTCTGCCACCACTTACGGATCCACTGCCCAGTAAGTTTCATGTTGACCTGTGGATTATTAGGCTGACTTAGATTTAGAGGAATAATTTTGTGTGGTGTTACTGCCAAATATTACACAGTTTCCAGCACTGTGCCATAAATGAAACCTGGGGATGCATACAGTTGTGGCACAGCTTACCTGCTCAATACTTTGGTTTCATGCATAGTTATACTGCATTAGTCTATCCCACTTTCTTTTTTCGTAATCTGGTGATTTCACAACATACCTGTCCGTGATGCTGGAAGGCACACTGGAATCTTTGCTGCCTTTCACAAACAGGCTGATGTAAAAAAAAAAGTTGCAGCAGTAAAAATGTTCTTACAGCCACCAATCAGATTCAAACCTGCTATGGATTTATGTGATTGGTGATGCAGGATGCAGAAAAAGATTCACAGCGCTGGCTTCAAAAGTACACTTCTGACCATGAAACCATGAAATGTGTGTGTGTGTGTGTGTGTGTGCTTGTTGCTGCATTGGGATACAGATATATTATTTTAGTGCAATCTCAGATTTTAGCACAGCTGCAGCATTTGCACTTTACATGTTACCTGGCATGGCTCTAAAAGAACCTAACTCTAAGAAACTGTTTGGGATAATTTTGTTTTTTTTTTGCCTAATAGTCGCCAATCAGATCCAGACATGCTCTGGAATTATGATTGTAGGTAATATTACAACATATGCAGTGGAAAATTCCTTTTATTGTGTTTTTTTTTTTTGTTTGCTTCTGTAAAAATCAGTTAACTTTGCTTCACTCTGCGTACTCAAAAATGCATATTGCTTGGCAACCAGGTAATTAAATACATCTATACTCCAACCCTGTAAACTGTTTTCTGGAGTTTTAACCCCTTCCGGCCACCCCCTCTTGGCCCTTTAAGTAAATCTAAATGCAGGCAGGTGGAGGCATGCATTCCAATCATGTGACCGTTGTGCTTAGCAGTGGTCATATGATCGGAAAGCTCCTGATTGCAAGTAGCATTACGATAACTGTTCATTACTGTGCTGGCAGCGAGCAGCTCTTAGCACAATAATGTGTTTACTAATAGAGGCATATATGTGGCCACTCAGTCTTAAAGCCCACCTACCAAGGGGCCACTTATATGCACTACACTAACCCTTTCTATCCTAAACACAGTTAAAGCACAATGGGAACATAGTGCAGCGATCCTCATTTACCTGCACTTTCCTCCCATTAACTTCACAAGCTCCCTTAGACCAGAATTGGCTTATATTCTCTTACAGCTTCTTATTGCGTTTTTTATCTTAGTCAGCCTGGGCATCCTTTGGGCAATTTCTATATATAGTGAAAAATTAAATATGAAAATTATTATCTTAAAATCTTATTATTTTGCTCTCATAGAAAGTCTGGAATTTTTTCTCTATGCAGTAGAACATTCTGCAAGAACAGTACTTATTATTTAAACAGCACATTGGAATAGAAAATTAATTGATGTGTATTAATGTAATATACTACAATCTGTTTTTTCTTTTTTTTTTTTTATAAGGCAACATTGTAAGTAGTTTTATTTCTTTGTTGTTGTTTTTTTAGATTTTGGGCCACTAAAATCGGGTTCATATCCAAGACAGTCTACCTTCAGCTCTTCATCCAAAAACTCTCCTGTGATCCCCCCTAGACCACCACCTACATTTCAGCCAGTCCATGGCAGGACAGACTGGATATCAAAATATGGTGGGCACAGATAGCAAATTAAAGCACTTTATCTTACCATTATATTACTGGCTATGCAGTGCCCAGAAACTGACATTTTATGTTGCGCATTTAAGCAATCTAAAACATAAAAGGCCTTTTATTGCTAGTGTATGTAAAAATATTGCAATACCTGACAGTACTGGGGTATATGATTAAAGGATAATTAAACACAAGAACAAAAATGTGATATTTTTCAGCTTGCAATCTGGTGGTGGCTGTATTAGTTTTTTTTTTTTTTTTCCCAAGCTAAGAACATTTTTAGCAAATACAAAAAACAAATGTTGATCTTCCCAGAAATGCACTGTCCTTGTCACTTCCTGTGAGCTACACTGAAAAATATCTTTCTTCATATCCATCTTCTGTAAATTGCCAATTGCCCTGCCTTCCATGTAATAGAGATGAAGAACTGTGAACATGTGCAATCCATGTCAGGAGAGCAGCCTAGGGTGACAACCATTGCTCCCTCCATAGATACAGTAAAGGAGTGATATAGCCATACAGGGACAGGAATTGTGTTATTTGCAGGATTACTAGATGAAAAAAACTAATACAGCCACCACACCAAAGACTAATAATCTGCAATATATTATATTTTTGGTTTTGGGTTTAGATACACTTTTTATCTGGAGAAGTTCTAGGAATACATGCACTACTACAGAGTAGAGTACCAAAAGGTTTACTAGCTCACGTGATCAGTATCATAGGATACAGCTATATCCAGCTGTAGAACTTGACCCTAAAGGCTCCTTGAAGTTTATGTTTACACATGTGCAAAGTCTTTATTTTAGTGGAGACATTCCATAATAGGGTTCATTATTTTTCTTATTTTATATGCATTTGACTCCAGAAAAAAAAATTCTCATGTGCTATTAGGTGTAATTATATGAGCTGAAATTTAGTGTGAAAAGAATAATTTTCTTTCTTGTTCATTGAGAGAGAGAGAGGGAGGTCATTCACGTTTGGGTTATACTGCCACCTAATGTTGGGATGGACACTGGAAACTGGGGTCCAACCCTGGATAATGCCTACTACTACTAGCATGCCTCCATTTTTTTCAAATCAATTTTCATTCCAGGTTGTAGTGCAACAAAACATTGAGGGAGTGAATTCTTTTAATAGGCACTGTACCTGTTTGTGGAGGATTTTAGACTAAAGTTGTCTACTCCCACTGTGAATCTGGCAATTTCCTGCCTTAACAAAGAAACCACCTTACCAGTGGAGAATGGATCTGTAAGGAGCCAACTGATACGCAGTTGGAAGCCCTCTGTAGAATGCTGTTCTCACTTGTGGGTCCTGCTCTTCACCCTATCTTTGCTGTGACTTTACTTTTCTCAGTTATAGTTGACTGGACAAAATACTTTAAAATGACCTCACTACTACTGAGATTGATCCCTTGCTTACAAAATGCATATAGCAAATGGTTGTAGCTTTAAAATTAATTTGTGACGGTCTGCTGAAAGTCTCTTGTCTGATCTCTCATATGGGTTTTCTGTCAATATACATGTATAGGGCACTATGGTTAAAGTGATAAAATGTGGAACCTTTGCTGATGGCAAGAGTATCGCATAGGTTTTTTTGTAAATACACAAGTATAGGGCACTATGGTTAAAGTGATAAAATGTGGAACCTTTTCTGATGTTGCTGGTTGCAAGAGTATCGCATAGGTTTTTTTGTAAATACAGAAGTATAGGGCACTATGGTTAAAGTAATGAACTGCTGCTGGTGGCAAGAGCACCCATCTTCCTTAGCAGAAGACACCTAAGGCACAGACAAGGAAGGTTTATAAAAGTCCTTTGTTATACAACTCCCATAACATGCAGACCTAGACCTGCCACAGTTTAGGCCTGGGTGTTTCTTCCTCAGGAGAAATGTCAGACTCTCTGATCCAATCTGAATTTCAACCAGAACGACCTTCTTCCGTCCCTCTGTCTGCCTGCAGTTCACTGAAAAGGAAATTTCACTCCACATCTCAGCTACAGCATTTCGGCATGAGGCTGTTTGACAGATTTGCAAGGCTGCCACCTGGACTTCTTTTCACACATTCCCTAAAACCAGGTGGATGTTCAAGCCTCATCTGATGCAAGCTTTGGGTGTAAGGTCCTTCAGGCGGCTCTTTGAGTTACAGGCAGTCCCTAGTTCTGTCTTTTCATTTTTTTTTCTAGGGCCTGTTCGTGTTTGTTTGCGGTTTTGCCCACCCTGCTGTTTTGGACTGCTTTTGGACATACTGAAGATAAATGACCTCTCCTGTCCTTCAAGGGCAAGAAAGAAAATAGGGTTTTTGAACTAACAGGAGCCCATGGAGGTACACAGGTCCAAAGGAGGCTCTGGTTTTTGGACCATGCTCTCAGCATGGGTTTGCTATGTACCTGACACTTGCTGGTAGTAGAAGGGGTTATTTTGGTTAGCTTGCTTTTTTCTGTGTGTTTGTCTTTTGTTTTGTTTTGTTTTTTTTTGCCAGTGTCTCCACTTTATGCAGCAGTATAATGTGAAGGTGAATGAGTTCCTGTGTCCTTCAATGGCCTCCAAGAAAAATATCTTACAATGTGTAATAAAAAAATTATATTTATATTCACATAATTGTAAACACTGATTTCTAATCTGGGATCTTTAGTTATTTTTATACTACTTTCTGATTTGCAGTGCATTGCTGGACAATGCAATGCAATTCCTTTGAGTACTGCACTTCTGTATGGCTTAGTTTTTTTGTGTTTGTTTTTTTTTTAATTTAGTAGACATTTTTTTTGGGGGGGGGGGATTTGTTATAGTCTGTGACCCACTGGATAGACTCCCTATTCATCCTAGGGACCATTTTTCAGTATAGAAATTGAAAGGAAATCCAATAATTTTGAGTTATCACCAGAACAGGAATAGAAGGAAAAGTATTCCAATGCGTAAACATGTTCTGGTTACCACTGCCACAGTGGCAGCCTGCTTGTTGTGTATTTGGGACAGGAAGTCAAGTAAAAGACAGTAAAGAAGTGAAATAAAATACAGTTAAAAAAGAAAAACCCGAGTCTTAACCATTCCCTACTCTGTCCAAGAAAAAGTTGCTTTTACATTTACTTAAAGTGTATAATTAAAAAAAAAAAAAAAAAAAATCTGGAAACCAGCATTTCTGACATGCTTTTGAAAGTGCATTCTCTAGGATGGTCATTCTCATTCTTGATACACTACTTAGTGAGTCACTGACCTAGACAAGTATGCAAGTCAGAATTTTGACTGGGTGCGTGTTTTTTTTTAGCTAAGGAATGATTGCCCTGGAATATGCAACTGAAAGAATATGCAACGGCAGCTCTAATATTTTTCTCTTAACATAATCCCTCTTCCATCCATGTCACTGTTCATACTAAAATAAAGGATGCCATTAGAGCCTGTAATATGACAATATTTTTTCCAGTTGTCACACGGCGTTGTTTACAACGCATTTTTTTTTTTTTCTATGTTTCGGTATTTAGCAGTTAGCATATTCTGTAATTGATATACATTCTCTTTTTTGAGACTTTTTTTTTTTTTTTTTTTTTTTTTTTAGTTTTGTACTAAAGATACAGTATCTATTTTGGTAGGAACTAGTTAAAATATATTTATTTTTTTCTGTTGTCAAATTAACTTTATTAAAAATTGTCTGAAGTACTTCAATGTAACAGTTTATAAAAAGTGTACTTTGTAAATTACCTGTGCGGTTTGTTGTCTTGAACAAGTTATCTAACAGTCGAAACTAAAGTAAATTGATAATGAACCTAAATACCTGTCTAAAGCTGGCTATACATTGAACAAAATACGGCTGGTTTAGCAGGAACTGGCTGAATTTTGATCTATGTATGGTCGCTGTGGTTGTACAGAAGTTGATCTACCAATCGACTTATGAACAACTGCCCTGTCAGATTTTACCCGCTCAGTCAGCAGTGTCCCCACTATCAGAATACAATGACACAGCAGGGAGGATTCCATCATCCACCTTGAATGTGTGGATGGGAGAATCAGGTCTGTTGGGTTTTTTTTTTTCGTTCAAACCCACTGGCATCTTTTGGTCACGGTGAGCCCTGAATAAGCTACATGGCACAGATGATTCTATTAGCATAGAGCCTTGACAATATTCTTTGGCTGCATTGAGTGCACTGCTGGCCACAGTCACACTGAATGATCTGTATCAATCCCAAGAGTATTGTGTGAGGTTACAGGCTTATTATGATGTTTATACTTTTAGAAGTCACCGTTCTCTTGATCATTTAAATCATAGTAGTGTTATCTAGCAAAAATCTGGATGCTCCATGAGCCTCCACTGTATGGGAAAGATCATTTAATTAATTCTAATGTTGGGTTGACAGTAGCATATAATGAACTTAGACCCAAAGTGATTTATGAAGTGTGGAGGTTACTGAAAAACTTACTGAGCATGTAACACAACGGAACTGCATATAGCCATTAATGAGCATATTTTTGCAACACAAAAATCACAGGCATAAAAAACTCTTCTCTAAACCTAGCCCAAGGCTTAGATACTCATCAGTATTCAAATTCCATGGAATGCTTATCAGATGCCTGCTAGGTCCTAAAAGCAGCTAACAATGTTGCTGAAAACAGACACCTTGTGGTGCCTGCAAGTACCTATAACCATTAATCAGACCATGTGGATGCCTTGTGGATGCCTTGTAATTGGTCCTAGGATGTACGTATTGACATGGTGCCAATTTCGGTAGAAGGTGAGACCTGAGTCTGAAAATTAGGGACCCCACAATAACACAGGACTTCTAGTAAACACTAAATTAAATTTTTTAAACCAGCTGACCTCTGAGACTTAAACAGCTATACACTGATTGAAGTTTGCCTGAATTTCGATTCATTCTTTAGTTGTCCCTGCTTGTCATTTGATTGACTTATGTGGGGAAGCAAGAGGAACATGTTGGAATCAAGTGGAGATTTTTTTTTTTTTTTTTTCAATTATTGTTCCATGCTACATTTAAAGAACAAATCTATTAAAAAAAAAGGATTTAGT